TATATATATATCTAAATCATAACAAATTATTTGGCCAATACCTAAAAAAATAACAAAATATTTTTTCCAAAAAATAAAAAAAAATGTTTTTCTTCAAAAATAAAAATAAAAAATTATTTTAAAGAACAAGATTAAAAAAATTGATTTTTTTTCAAAAAAAATAGAGTTTTGAAAAGAATTTTAAATTTTATTTATCAAAATCATGATTTGAAAATCAAACCAAACGCTACCTTCAGCTTTTTTACATTGTATTCTAGTCAAAAATTAAAAACAAAACACTAAAAAGACACTTCCAAAAGAACCCTTATTTACTCTTTGATAGAATTTTCCAAATTTATTTACAAAAAGAATACAAAAAAAAAAATTTGTTAATTTATATGATTTTATCTTTTTGAGACTAAAATTATTTTAAAATTTTCAAAATATTTCTTTTGCATATGATTATTTTTGCTAAATCGATTTCTAATTTTTTTTTTAAATTGAAAAAAAAAATCTTAAATTTTAAACTTTGTAGAACCAATTCTGATTATCAATTGAGTTAGTTAGGTCCCTCAATCATTTGAACGAATCCTTTGGCAGCCCGGCTCCCGTTGACCGCCACGAAGCACTGCTTGGACATGACCTGATCGCCCCAAATCTCCTTGATTACCCCCATAGCCGAGGGGAATCTCATTACTTGGTGAAAAGTTGATGCCACGGCTTGCATGGCGTGTAGCCATCCCCTTCCAAGGATAAGGTTGTACGTCGAAGGCACTTGTAGCACCCAAAACTCAACTTGTTTGACCACGGATCCCGCTTTGACCGGCAGGATAATCTTTCCCAAAGGCCACTCTGGTTGCGAGTTGAATCCAACCAGTGGCGAAGTTGCCGGAGCCAAGTCTGTCTCCCGGAGTTTAAGCTGCTTGAACGCATCATAGTACATGATCTCGACCGAGCTTCCCTGATCGATCAAGATTCGCTTAACATCGAAGTCCTTGACGCGTAGTGTTACTACTAGGGCATCGTTGTGCGGCGTCTGAATACGTTCTAGATCCCTTGAGGTGAAACTAATCACGTCTTTTTCTTCTGTCTTCCCCATTTTGATGGCAGGCTGTACCGACAAAACTTCCTGCATATGCTCTGCCTTTTTTATCATGCCCCGGAGTTCGCAGACACGCTCCGGTTCCACGATGCCGTGGATGACATTAATAACTCCATGCGGTGATGCGTCTCGGTCATCCTGTCCCCGGGGATCGACCGGAGCCTGATTCGGCTTCACGCCGCCATTAATGTAAAGGTCTAGATGCCCGGCAGCGACCAGCTCTTCTAAGTGTTGCCTCAAAGGCAAACAGTCCTCAGTCCGGTGGCCTCTCTCTCGGTGGAACGTACAACGATATCGCGGATTATAGCCCTTTTGTCCATCGTCCAACTTAGCAGGAAACCGGACATACTCCTCGTCTCGGATTTCACTAAGTATGCGATAGATTGGAATCTTGAAGACCGTGGTTATGCCAGTCCTCGCCTTCATCCTTCTGTTTGCGTCCTCAACGTCATCTCGGAGGTAGTTATCCCGGTCATGCCGTCGTCCTCTACCCCGGTTTTTACGATTTGAACCACGGTCTGATTCCTCTGCTCGGTCACTTGAGTGGCTGGACTCTTGCCCAACTGCGTGCACTTTGCCTGCTGTCTTCTTGTCTGTTACTACCGGACTGACCTTCACGGTAGAAGCTGACGCGTCATCCTCAACACGGATGTGCTCATTGATGCGCTACATGAGTTGGCCCATGGAGGTCGGCTGGTGCATGGTAAGCGAGTCCCGCAGTCTATGTCCGACCGGGAGACCGCGCTTATACTGCGTGATTGCAAGGTTGACCGGGCAATCCAAGATCTCGTTGAAGGTTTCCCAGTACCTTGAGTTGTATGCCTTCAGTGTGTCGCACGGTTCCATCTTGACACTTAGCAAGTGATCGACTTTCTTTGGTGTTTTTGTGTTGGTTTTGAAGCGTGCAACAAACGCCTCGGCCAACTGATGCCACCTTTGTATGCTCCCTTCAGGCAACCGCTCGAACCACTTTAAGCCCAGCTCGCCCAAACTTGACGGGAAGATTAGGCACATAAGTCCGTCATTGCGCCTATGTCCGGCCATAACCTGTCGGAAGTGGCTCACATGCATGTATGGATCGGTTTTTCCGTCATAAAGTGTGAACTTAGGCTGGTGGAAGCCTGCCGGAAGTGGTGTTGTTTCAATTTCCAGGGAAAAAGGAGTGGCACTCAGCCTGGCCAAGTCCATATCTTCAAGGAGTGGCACTGCTTGGCGGGGCGGAGGCATTCCGACCTCCTCGCTGGCGTGAACCCCGTAAGATAGTCGCTGGAAAGCTGGTATCCTCTGGGCTTCACGCCGGCGGGCCCGCTCCTTTAAGACCGCCCGTAAATCCTCTGACTGTGCGGAGTAAGAGTACCTCGACGTCGTCTCCGGACGTGAGGGTTTGTAGGTGCTGTCTTGCGCGCTAGACTTCCCTGCACCCACGTCGAAATCACCAACCTGGTAACTTCTGGTAATGGATATTGACGGAGTACGTCGCTGACTCTGACCGCCTGAACGGCGGGATGGGGTGCGCTCACTGTGGTCTCCCACTCCAACTACACCCTTCCCTTTGACATGCCGCTTGAGATCTTCCATCTCCGCCGCCATTCGCCGGATGACAGCATCTTGATCCCTCAACTTGCTTTCCAGTCGCCTGGCGTGCGAGTCTCTCCTCCGCCGGTGACCGTCTGGACTCCGTGAATGTCCATGACTTCGTCCGCGCTTGTCCCGCGCGTCTCCTGACTGTCCGCCAGTGGGCGTTCCCAAGTCAGCCATTGGATGGACAGCAGGAGGTCCCTCTCTCCTTCGGGTATACTCCGGGGTGGCTCCGTCGATGGCGGACAACGAAAACTCGTCGTTGTTCGCCATGGACGGCGATCAGATGAACCTGGAAGACAAGGTTTTGTCTGTCAAACTTCCCACAGACGGCGCCAATTGTACGGGGAGCAAATATTCCGGCAAGCCCGTACTCCTTTCTCCCGAGCTCCGTCGATGTCAGAGGATTGTAATGATTATGGGTTGGATTTGATGTTTTGTTTTTTGTGGCTAAAATAGCCTATTTTGTTTTTTGTGGCTATTTTAGCCAAAAAAGCCTGGCTTTTTTCTTCCCTTTTTGTACTTTTTTTAGTTGTAGGATATTATTGGAGAAATTTTTTTTGTGTTTGGAAAGATAGTTGGGTTTTTTGTGGTTAGATGTGATGTTTGTGGGATAAAAAGTGAAATGATTATGAGGTTTGATGTCATATTTTATTTGGATTGATTTTTTTTGATTTTGTAACTAATTTATCTTTTAGTAAAAAAAAAACAAAAAAAACAAAAAACTAAACTTTCCAAACAGCCTATTTGTCTTTTTTATGAATTTTAGTTAAAAAAATATAAACTAAAAAAAGAAACAAAAAAAAGGCTAAAATTCAACGTCCCAAATAGGATCTTGTTTGGGAACAGGTTAATTTAGTAATTTTTTTACTATTTGACTAAAATATAAATTAAAAAAATTAATACATTTAGAATGATTTTTAAATTTTTTACAAAAAGATAGATAAAAAATAAAGAGAAATTCTTTTTTTAAATTTTTTAATATAAATTATTGAGTTTTTAAATTTTTTAGTGATTTTTTTTTGATTAAACGGATCGTTTCCCCCAACGAGGCCTTAGTGTAATTTACTTCTAACTTTTGACAAATATACTTAAAATAATAATCGTGTGTACTGCGCACAATGCTCCCAACTACAATCGGCACCTACTCGTCTTGTCTCAGTCTCCGCAGACTCCCCGGTATTCATTTCAAATCCCCCAAACTTTCCAATTCCGTTGATCTGAATCGGTAGCCCTTGATTGCCCATAATTCCTCAAATCGGACGGCCTCGATGTTGAAGAACAAAATCAATACAGTGCGGTGCCACTCCGCACTATCACAACAACTCTCTCACCATTGAAGGAGCAGTTCAACCTCGATCAACAATCAAACCCATCTCAAATCTGTAACCACATTCATCCCTCAATCGGTAAGCCTATCAAATCCTCTCATCTACAAAAGTTTTGTATGAGTTTATCGCAGAATTAGGGTTTTGATTGAGTTAATTTGAGCAATTCAGATGGAATCGGAAGATAGGTATGTAGAAATTGACTCTTTAGAGAGAGGTTTGCTATCGGAAAACAGTTCGCAAAACGAAGAAGATGAGGAGGTTATTTACTCGGCGTCTTTTGAAGAGACGGAAGAGAAGTTTGTCAAGTATCAAACGGCTCAATGGGTGCTTTACTCGTTGTTGTTGATTTTGGCTTGGGGGATTGGTTTGTTCATGTTGATTTATATTCCTGTTCGGAGATATATTCTGCGTAAAGACATTCGTTCAAGGAAGCTCTTTATCACCCAGAATGCTATTGTATACAAAGTAAATTGCCCATTCCTCGTAAAAATCTCATCTTTTGTTATCCAATTTTTATTTATTTTTTATAAATTTTTTGCTGAATTTTTGGGGGGTTGTTATGGATTCTGAATGCCTACAAAAAGTAGCTAATTGAGGTCATTATGCTTGTAAAAGTCTCACCCTTGTTGTCTTTTGCAGGAAATTATTATTGTATAGATTAGGAATGCCTATGACTTTTATTTATAAGATTTGGCTATAAGTAAGCATGCTATGAGAACTAGAACTGGATTGGGGACCGTGGGGTTGATTTAACTGAGGTCACTATAATCATGGTAGTGATCATCATGCTTGTAAAAATCTTATCTTTATTATCTTTTGCTGTTTAGTATGTGTTTGTTTCTTTTTTCTTCTTGGGTTTGATTTATAGGGACTGTTACGGATTATGCCTATTGGTAAGATTTGGCTATAAGTAGCATACTTTGAGAACTAGATTTGGCTTGGGGACAGTTGGTTTGAGTTAATTGAGGTCATTATAATGATGGTAATGGTTGTTATACTTGTAAAAATCTCATCTTCGTTATCTTTTGTGGGCTAATATTTTTCCCTCATTTTTTTTCGAGATTAATCAGGTATTGTAATGGATTATGAATACCTAGAGATTTGATTAGTAAGATTTGGCTATGAGTAGTGTGGTATGAGAACTAGAACTAGATTGGGACAGTGGGGTTGAGTTAATTGAGGTTAATATAGCTTCCGTTTGGGAAGTGGGTTGGCTTTTTGGCTTTTTGGCTATTTTAGCCTGGGCTATTTTAGCCTGGTTTGGGAAGGGCTTTTTGGCTTTTTGGCTTTTTTGACTTTTTTGGTGAGAGAGGATTGTAATGATTATGGGTTGGATTTGATGTTTTGTTTTTTGTGGCTAAAATAGCCTATTTTGTTTTTTGTGGCTATTTTAGCCAAAAAAGCCTGGCTTTTTTCTTCCCAAATAATGATGGTAATGGTTGTTATGCTTGTAAAAATCTCACTGTTGTTATCTTTTGCTGGATAATATGTAATTTTTTTTCCATTTTTTAGTGACTTTTTGGAGTTGTTATAGATTATGAATGTCTAAAAATATTATTAGTAACATTTGGCTGTAAGTAGCATGCTAAGAGAACTAGAACTAGTGGATCAATTATGGGGTTGAGTTAAATTGATGTCAATATGATGATTGTTATGATGGTTATGGTTTGATTGGCATGTATCAAATGGTTTGTGTTTTGTTGCCAAGGTTTTTGGTGTATTTTTGTTTTGTTGTTTGCCAATTAAGGAGGTATTCGAACATTTGATATTATGTCACTGCTAATGCATTGGAGTTGTGTGTGTGTGTGTATTTTTTTTTTTTTTGTAAATTGATCTGCAAGTTATTCAAGTTCTGTATTGACCCATTAATTAACATCTTCTGTTCTCTAGCTCAGGTCGTAAGGCCGGTTCCATTTCCATGCTTTGGGGTTTTGAAAAAAGAGAAGTATGTTCTGTTGCCTTCAGTTGCTGATGTTGTAATTGAACAAGGTAAATTATCTGGTGCTCAGTATGACCGAGCAGTCCAAGCCATTTTCCTGGATTGTTTTTCTTTTAATATATTGCAGAAATCACACATATATACACTAAGGAAAAAGAAGGCCAGACCTACACCCAGCGTATTAAAAGGACCTTGAAGGAGTGATGGCAACTTAATAAGTCCTATTTCGGTGACCCAAACAACTGATATGGGGCAGATTATTTTTTTTTTTTCGTTTTAATATTGTAGAAATAATACACACCGTTGTCCACGCACTTGGCTGAATTGGATGAGTCCCTTGTTAACATAATGTGGAATGTTTACATGTGATAGTTTAATTGAAGGGTGTTACTTTTGAAGCCAACGTATTTGGGTGGTCATGATAGGTTATATGACCTTCCTCCAGAACAGATGACAATAACCTCCAAAAAGGGTTCCCTCCTCGTGGGAGAGTAACCCCTTTCGAGTGTTTACACCCCTTTTATCGTCATATAACTTTTTTTGTCATTTACAGATGTTATTATTGTCTTTTTCTCTAGATTAATAGTGGTAGGGCTTGTCACTTTACCAGTCTAATAATGTCTATGAGGTCCTTCCTATTCTCAGGATACCTGCAGTCCCTTTTTGGTGTATACTCAATCAGGATTGAGAATGTTGGTGTAAGAAGGCCTCCGAGTGATGATGTTCAAATCCAAGGTGTTTCAAATCCTGTTGCTTTCAGGAAGGTAGTCTTTATGGTCAAACTGCATTTGATGTTGGTATTATCATTGGACGATATTAAGCAACTCACATCCATGATGCCTTTTTCAGGCTGTTTTAACACGCCTTGCAAACATGAGAAGTGAGGCTTTCTCTAGGCAAGTTTCTGCAATTGATGATGTTCCAAATTTGAGGATTGGCCATTCAGCTGCAGCTTGGGTATGCCAAAATACTTGAACAAGTGTGCACATTATATGGTTTTTGCTTTTCATTTTGAACTTCTGATATTTCTATACCAGCACAAGTATGCATTCCATTTATGAATTTTGGCAACCCAACAAGGGAATTATGTATTCTAAATTTTGGCCCTCTGTAACGTCATGTTGATTATAAATAACCTTTTCTTTACTGAATTCCTTTGCTTAAAAACTGTCTCTAGCATTAATTATTTTGTTCTTTCTTTGATCTTCTGCAGATGTCTCCATCAAAATCTCTCAGGCATGATTCTTTTCCTCATTCAGGGGAGCTAATACTACTACAAAAACTAGAGGAGGTTGGCAGTTCTGTGAAGGTAGTAACCTGTTCAACTTTATTCTTATTTTCCTATCAAAATCTCTCTCTCTCTCTCATTATGAGATGCTTATCTGGTAAATGTTGCAGAGGGTTCAAACTTTAATTGAGGAGCAACACTGTCGAACATCAGGTCCTACAGACTAAGGTAAGTGAATTCCAAAAGCACAAACCACCAGAAATGACGGATTTTCCTGGTTTATGGTGTCCTGTTCGTTTGAAATTTATGTTGTACAGACATTTATTTTAGCTAAATATTATTATGTTTGGCCACTTAAGTAGTACAAATGTCAACATTTCCACAGAAACTTCAGTGTTGGACTTCCACATGCCTCATTTTTCTAAAATCTCTGCTTAGCTATGGATGTCAGATCCTCTAATAAACTATCTGCCTCTTTGGTGGGTAGCAACCAAAATTAAAATCTTTGTTTTCCCAGTTCATCAGTGCTTAGGTACGAGAGTCTGGTCCTCTCATAAACTCTTGTTCGACTCTTGGGTGTGTGACAAAGAATTAATACTGGTTTTTTTTCTCACACCTAAATTCATCTCAAGTCTCAAAATCTTTACTTTCCCAGTTCATCTCTGCACAGCTATGAAGACTCTGGACCTCTGATAACTTATCAGCCTCTTGAATGTGTGACAGCCAGGTCTAAAAGTTTTGCTTTCACCTCCATCTTTGCCTTTTGCTACCGAAAGTCTGACCCTCTATTGAAGTATCAGCCACTTGGTAGGTGACACCTAGAATTCGTACTGGTTTAACGTCTCTCATCCTTAACTAAGCTTAACTAGGTTTGTTTTACTTGGGTCTGACTACATGTATCCATTTCCTCCATTCAGTTCTATTATCAGTTATATCCTTGGTTAAGTTTAAGAAAGTCATGTCCTTTTCTTATCACCTCAATTCAAGTTTTGCCTTCCTCTATTTCTTTTACCACCCTCCACATGGAACAAATCACTCATTTCGGTATGCTGATTGATCTACAATGTACATGAGCGCACCATCAAATGGCTTTCCCTCATCTTATTTGAAATTACACTTCTAACTTCTTTTTAGTGGATTCATTTCTTGTTTTTGTATTTTGTTGTAACTCTTCTCATCCATGTTAACTTTCTCATTTCGATTACATTCATTTTTTGATTTTTTTTGCTTACTAGCCAATACTCAGTACAAGGCATCATGGCAAGTTTTGCGGTAGTCCCATCAATTTAACTCAATATATAACTAATACTCCTTTCTAAGTCAATAAACACCATAGTTATGTCATTTTTCTTTTCCATATATTTTTACCATAGTCATGTAAGTAGAAAAATAACTTCCAATTGGTTTTGTAAAGCCATTATCTCATGTCTTAATCTCTGCACAATTAATTTCTCCTAAAGTTTCATTGAATGACTATAAATTCCATACTACGATAATTAGGTCAGCTTTGGATATTACCTTTGTTCATTTATATTGGAATTAATGCACTTTTCTCCATTCATCATACATTTTTTTAGTGAACCAAACTATCCCTTCATCATCCAAACACTTCCAAACTTAAATAAAAATTCCTTATTGTCCTATAGCTTTTCCCAGTTCATCTTCTCCATAGCCATTTTTTGTCTACATTACTCAGATGTTGCGAAAGAATTTATAGTTAATAAATATTACTATTTGAGTTATCAAGTTCTCCTAGACTCAATTTTCTTTAGTGGTTTACATTAAATAGCTCTTTCAAAACAACTCCTCCATTGTTCTTTAATCTTGTATTCCTTAGCTAGCACTCTCTCATCTTCACCCTTGATACACTTGACACAGTTTAGGTCTCTACCTTTTCTTTGTACTAATCCATCCAAGTCCTCCCTAATTTCACATATAATAGATTCATTTAATCTTATCTGGGGCCTATAAGCACTAATTATATTTTGTGTCATTTCTTAGAACATTAATTTCATTAATGTTATTCTATCTCCTTTTCTTTTAACCTCTGCTCCATTCATATGCTTCGCTTTCCTAGTATACCAAATTTACATATTGTTTTATCAACACTTGTCCATTTAAGTGTTGGGAACCCTTGCTTGTTTCTCACCTCACATGATTGCCTAAGTGTCGATGTAGCACCTAATTAACCTTTGCTCATTTGTCATTATACTTGAGCTCCGATGCAGTGTGTCACAAGTAGGAAATGGCCAAATAATACTTGGGATTCATGTTCATAAAGGTGTGACTTTAAGGCTATGTTTGGATTGAGTACTTGTTGAGGGAAAGGGGAAAAAGAGAGAAATGAATTATTTATCTATTTATTTTCTCTTTCATTTACTTTTCCCTTAACAATTCCTAGAACCAAACATGACCTAAGTTTTACGTTGGTTGTTAACCTTCCACAACCCTCCTTTATTCGGACTTGAGACTAGTTGTGTCAAAGATGAAAATTAAAGGACTTTAGTCGTAGTTATGTTTCTCACCCTTAATAATCTCAAACAAATTGTGTATAGCTTTGGCAACATTATCCTAGACAGGACAGTTTTGACTTAGTTGCTTACCAAGCAATGTGAACAAATGAAAGCTCAGCTCTTTCTGAACTTTTGAGATAGTCTCATTCAGTAATAGCGTTAAAATCCATTCAGTTACTTGCACAAAAAATCATAGATTTTTTTTTTTTTTAAAAGCCTATGGGCGACTATTTTTATTGTGATCATGCTGCAGCGTGGCTTATGCTCAATTCAGGTTGAACATAGCTTAAGCTTGAACAGACCAATAGTTAGCTTGGCTCATTACAATCCACAAAGGCAACCGTAAACTATTTCTATTATCATTTATAGAAAACGTCTCTCTGTGGATGATACACAAGCAATTTAACCAAAAAAAAATAGGCAAAAGAATTATTAAATATGTCGTATGTTGATTAGACCACATGTGTTGCAGGATATAAAGCAAAGGGATGATGTGCGATGAGCATTTTTTCGGTGGCATTTGTGAACCAACAAATATTTGGATATTCTGTCTGAGCTGCCCTTAAGCAAGAGTTTTTGAACTTGCATAGGTCCCCATCCTCGAGTTCAAGTGAGTACACTTTGTTTTTAGTCTTGACCTGTATTGGAGGTTTATTGGTCAACTCCAATAGGTCTGTTGTATTAGCCTATGTTGATGATCCCCTTTTGTGGCATGTGTTTGTGTTTTCCTTTTCCTTTTCCTTTTCCTGTTTCCCCAATCTTTAAGTGGGCTCTTCTTTTTTTTTTCGTAACGATTTTTTGTGAAAATTATTATTGAGTTTGTAATTTTTCCAGATACCATTTTCCGGTAGGGTATTTGTTGATTGATTTGAAGTTTTGGTTCCTACCCAGATTATGGTCTCAAGTGAAGACTCATGTAGAGAGGACTCATGACTCCCTAAATGATTGATCCTATCAACTAAAATTTTGAGATATGTTTGGTATAATGAAAAAATGAAAATTATTGGGAAGTCAATAAAAAAATGTTTATTTGGACAGGGAAATGTTTCACTTTTAAAAGGTGAAAAATATTTTTTGGATCAAAATTTTATCAATGCCATCATCACTTACCCTACCTTAACCACTTCCACCGCTATCAACACCACTACTAATACAATACCTTTCCCTTTCCAAATCCCTCACCAAATCCCCCAACCAAACACAACATAAATGATTGATCCTATCAACTAAAATTTTGAGATATGTTTGGTATAATGAAAAAATGAAAATTATTGGGAAGTCAATAAAAAAATGTATATTTGGACAGGGAAATGTTTCACTTTTAAAAGGTGAAAAATATTTTTTGGATCAAAATTTTATCAATGCCATCATCACTTACCCTACCTTAACCACTTCCACAGCTACCAACACCACTACTAATACAATAGCACTTTACGACTGTTATTAAATATAGAATCTATGGAAAATATTTTAGAAGTTATTGTCAAAAAATGTTTTTCGTCGAACTACTACTTTTTGCTTCTTCATTTTCAATAAAGTGCTTCGGTAGCTCCAACTTGAACTCCTAGCTCATGCAAGAGTTGAATCCGGAGTGGAAGTCAGCTGGCCATAAGGATATTCTAAACTGAGGCATTGTGTCCCACTTGCAATGTTCAATGAATGATTTTCAAATGATACACGTTAAAAAGCCTTCGTTTAAAGATATCCCTTCCATCAATCATATTTGCCCTGTCTCAATCGATTGAGCTGTTGTCCTGTATTGGTAGAAACTTTATCAATCGGTTTGGTCTGATCTTTCCATTCCCTATCGCATCTGTTCTATTTAGCCAATCCCTTGCTACTTGCTTCACCCCGCCTTGCTTGGTCATCGATCGCACCCTATCGTCGAATCTGGAATCAAATCTGTGTTGGCATCTATCCTATTGGTTGTTGAAGGTGCTGGCTGATGAAAGACATCCCCAGAATGCCCCCTTTTCACGCCTATCTCACTTGTTTACAGCTCTTGTGGGTCTTTTAGCGCTGTTTTCACATGATGCAATATTTGAGCCTCCTAGACTTGCTCTCTCACCCAAGCCTCATAGCATTCATATTCCAAGCACTAAGTATTCCCTGCCTGCTTAGATGCATCAATCCGCCTATTTGTACTATGTCCCTAGCAGAGATAGAGATAGAGAGTTGCAGTAGCTCTTGGTAGGAGGGAACTAATACCGTAAATAAGGTTCATTGCTATTTGCTCTCCCACTATGCTAGCACTTAATAGACCATCTTAGCCGAATTACAATAAGCAATCTCCGAAGCAATATTGCGGTATCCAGGACTACCATTTATGTAACTGAACTTCCCTATCCCTTGTCCACTTTTCGGACTTCAAGGGCTTTGAGTAAAGGATGGCACAAGGGCGGGAAGATATGCTCATTCATAGGGAAGGCGCAATCTTTTGGCTAACCCAATTAACTCGAATTATGTGCAGTAAATTGTAATGTTAAGCTTGCTTTTCTGGAAAACCTCCTTTATGTTGGCATTTTGAATTTTGACAAAATGATCCCTAATATTGATTGGCCATTATTGCATGTTAGGGAAGATATCTAATGTCAATATTGGTTAGGAAAAAAAAAAAAACCACTCATACTCATTTCGTAGGAGGAAAAAATTTCTCAGGAGAAAAAAAAAAAAAAATGTTTTGCTTGGTGTGATTCTCAAAATTTGTTTTTTGATAATTTTTAAAAATAAAAAATTAAATTACCTTAAAAAAGAGGGAGAAATTGTATATGAAAATAATGAATGTTTTAATATTTTTTAATTATTTTTTCAAAAATCAATTTTTTAAAACGAAACAGAACGAACTGTTTATGTTGGCTATATAGGATGATATTAAGTAAGCCAAAACAAAAAAACAAAATGTAAAAATTATTGTAATGCTATGAAATATGCATGTACATGTGGATAACCTTTTTTAATTTTTAATATAAAAGAATACGATATATGAATATAAAAAGAGAGAGAAATTATTTATTGTTTTTAGACAAATGTGATAAAATAAAAATATTACGATTATTAAATCGAATTATTTTTTTCATGAATGGTATACATTGAGAGTCTTACGAAATGGACGATTTAAATTATCAAAACGGAATTCGTCATGGGCCTACGAGCTTCTCAAAATATGAGAAAAATTCAATCTTATATGTATATATATATATATTTTTATCTTTTGTATTTTTCAAATTTATTATGTAACAAAAAAATATATAAATATAAATATAATAAGTATCGCAGCCTAGTCGAAAAAAAAAAAAAAAATGAAACCCAAAACGACATCGTTTTGAGTTTTAAACCAAATTCGAGCATGGATAAATCGGGCTCTGTAACGAGACTGATATAATAAGTATCGCAACCTAGACCGACGTATGACCCATGAGTCAAATATTTTTTTAACTACTATTAAAAATATCTAACTGAATTGGCAGGTCATTAAGCTCATGGCCGCCTCTAATTGTCACATTTGAATGGACAATTAGGAATGGTTTGAAATTATGTTATTTTAATAGTTTTTAAATTTTTTTATTAAAAGATGTAAAAGAAAATTAAAAAAATATATGATTTTTTTTTTTTGTCGTCTATATTTTTTGTGAAAAATGTGATAAATTGAAATAGTTACAGTTATTGGATTGACCTAATTTTTTTTTGTAGATGAAATACATGAAGTACCAAACAAAATAAACTGTTTGAATCATATAATAATTGATTATATTTCTATTGGTTTTTTTTTTTAATTTTTTTAATTTTTGGCTATAGTCATTAAACATGATTATTTAAGGGAAATTTAGCTTAAACATCTCCATTAGACCTTTATTTGGTGGAAATAATTGTTCAATTTATTTTGCTTCATAAACTTCCTAAGGAGAAAATACATAATTAAGTAAGAACAAAGTAAATATGTATATATATATATATATATATATTTTCTTAGACAATATTACCAGAGTAACATGTTATTGTCAAACACAGTGGCTATCAAATAGAATAACATGTTACTGTGAGATAAAGTAATATATTACTGTCAGACAGAGTACTGTTTACATCAATTTCGACGATAATAATTTTTTTTTAAGAATTTCATAGTCAATATAGATCTTATTTGATACATCCTAATGAAAGAATTCTAAAAATACTAATTTTATTAAAAACTGATATCTACATCAAAAGTTATAGTATTTTAAAATTTAATATTTTGAAAATAATAGTATGTGTTGGACTTTTTTATTTTTTTTTATATTTATCCTCAATATATTAAAATTTTATTATGAAAAAATTTTGATCAAATCTCTTGTTGTTTAATTTCGCACTTATGACAAAGTGGTTCGGAAATACTCTTCGGATCTTGGAGGGCGCTCGTGATCCTCAGCTACTCACCTAAAAAGGAATGAACACCCCGGTCGAGGGTGCCAGAATTAGCACTTCGACGGACAAGTCAGTGTATACTCTCTTGGTTTCTTATATCTCAAGTTTAGGCTTTTTCTCACATACCTCTTTTGGTTAATGCTCCTCTTATTTATAGTCGTTCTTGATGTTGATGGTTGGGCCCACCTTTTGTCCAATGAACAATCACTCATTCGGCTATATCTTCATATTCGGCCCAATCTACAACTGATACGGAGGCCGATCTCGTTATTCGGCCTCTATCATCTAATTTCCTTCTTTAATATATTCGGCTATCTGTAGACACCCCATTTTTGACTACCTTTAAGACTTTGACGCGACTGATGATTTACATGGTGGAGAAAGGTGTGCAGGGCAAAGGTTCAATTTCTTCGGCAAAGAGAGAGTCAAATCTCAACTTCATACCCCTGTTCTGGACCAGAACGATCTTGATCAAAATATTTTAGACTTAAAACCCTCTCTTTCAAAAACATTTTTGAAATAAAGTTTCTGCGATGTTCCGAGGCTCGTATTTTGTCAAAAATTGCGCTTTTCGGTAAACCGAGCAAGGGCAAAGTGGAAAAGAATGAAAGAGAGATGAAATCTTTGAAAAATCTTTCAAAACACCTTGCTTAGGGGTTTGAAGTTGAAGAAAAGAGGAGAAGAGGGAAGAAATCCAGTTGGGGGAGAAAATGGGCATGAACCGTTAAGAAAGAGTCGAGCAGCCCTCGCCAAATCAGGCCTATTCATTTTCACACTTGGAATCAAGCTATGAGGCCACCACCGTTGGAAATAATACTTCCGGGGCTTCATTTTGCACTCAAGAATCTCCTAAATCCAATTCCGGACGGGGAAGATATAGTTGATTGAAGTAGGGCATCACTCCGATTGGACCGAAATCTGCGCGGCTTCACCAAAAAGGGCATAACTTTTTCCACAGAAGGAATTTTAATGCAAGGTTTGCGCCATTGGAAAGCTAACTTTCGGGGCTTTAATTTGGACACTTGAATGGCCACCATTGGACCTTCCTACCACCCACCGGCCACTTTTCTTTCCGGCAGCCTTTTTTTTTTCCTGAAAGTAGCTGGCCGGCCACCTATTTGGTGAAATGACTTTTTTGCCCTTTTAAACTAGCCGGCCATGCCCCCCTCCCCAAGTGTGTCCTAGAAGTGAATTTTGTTTCCCACTACACCCATGTCAGAGGGTTTGGCCATTTTGGGGGAAAACTTGATTTGTTTTCCCCCCTTTTTTTTCCCCCTTTTTCCACCCCTTTTGCTTATATATACAACCCCTCCCCTTCAGATTTTAGGGTTACAAAATTTCCCTAAGAGCTTTGCATACATACACCTCCATCTCCCTCTCTTCCAAGCTTCAAACCTCTCAAACCCTACACCATTTCTTCACCAACCCATAGCCCCACCCTTCCATCCTTCATTCCAACAGCTGGAGGTTGTTCTTCAAGGCCTAGGAG